ATTTATAAATTAATTACCAGATACCTCTCAAGTCACCGATCCGCAGCTACCCCTGTATGCTTATCGGTACGTGAAAAATTTAACAAAAAAAATATAATAATTTCCCAGATAATTACGAAGCGTCTTGTGGGCGCAGATGGGCAAAGGGCTCGTCATATTCCGACACAAATCCCCCATAAACCGTCTCAGGTTACCGAGAGTGAATGAGGGCTGGTGGATTAGTGTGCGCAAGACCTGGAGAAAGCAGGGTGAATCATATCTGGCGAATTATGATGGCCGCTCGCGTCATTCGAATTGGCAGGACATAAATCTCTATAGGCATCGCCTCGTGTTTCTAAGGGTAGAAAAGGAGCATGTGGTCGCCGCTACGCATCTGTACCGATTGCGCGAGCGTACGAGAGAGCCAAAAAATAAATTCGCCCCTCTCTATCCTCTTTACCCCTTTAACCAGCCCAGGAAGCTAACGCTCGCGAAATTTACTCCTGCTCTTCTATTTTCCCCATACGCGACCCCATGGAGCAGGAGAAATCGACGCCAATTCAAAGCCGGTGACATCTCGTTGCCTTCGTAACAAGTACCATTGTCCGTGAGCATCGATCGCCGCCATTGTGTATACTGGCCGACACTCGGGTGCATCAAGTGCACTCAGAAATGCACCTGGCGAGATGTTCACTGGGCAATGCTAATCGGCGCCAGTGTACTCGAGCAATTTGTTTGAAAACACCGACTACATTTCGTTGACTTCAATTACGCTTGACAATCCGTCGACCGAGCATTAATGAAAAAGCAAAATCCATTCATACCGCTTCGAATGAGATTTTTCAAAATTTAACCAAACAGAAAACAAAGTGCTGTCACTTGGCCGAGAGGCTTTTATTCGAGCTTCGTGATTCTCCCGTATGGTCTCTGCGGTGTCGAGGACACTTTTATTTGGCTCTGGTAGTTGCGGTATAAACGCAGCATTATGCACGACAATAAACAGACATAATTGGTCCAGTATCGCCTCGATAGGTAGAGACAAACAAGAGAGACGATCCCTCGTCGCTTTGGCTACCCCCGTTTACGTGTATTTGTAGCTTGTTATGAAATGCAGCCACGCTGGTTTGCATCTATCCTGCACTTCACCCGCATGTAAAATACATGGGAAGGTAGGTAGGTGTATCTATGTATCCTATATATAGATTGACTCTATCTCTCTCTCTCTCTCTCTCTCTCTCTCTCTCTCTCTCACTCACTCACTCACCTCAGTCCCCATTGCCTCCATCCATTCTCTCTCTCGCTCTCTGTATGCAAAGCAAATGTATCATATCACACGGGCCCCCAGGGCTGCATTACAAGCCCGATCATAGTCTGTTTCCAACAGTATTAATACGCCAGTAAAAATGCACCCGCTGTTTCGCGACCAGCTCGCGCTAAACCGTTCGCTAATTCCATTTGACGCTACGAAAATTCCATGAAAACGGCCCCACGCGCTATTCCCAGCCAACTGTAACGATAATAATGGATATTGCTGATTTTATCCATACTTAGCCCCAAAACGGGGACTCGATCGGAGCATATAGTTATTTTTGTCAATGGCTAGCCACTTTTTTCTTTCGTTCTCACGGGTATAACAATCTCGACGACAAGTATCCTCGAGCTTCGTATCCACGGTACGGAGGATTCGCGACGGATGAGGGATGCCTGGAAACGATGAGTCCGAGACCCCGAGTGATAATAAAACCTTGGACAATCAACCGAGACGAAGAAGACGAAAGCGAGTGGCGCAATGGCGAGAATGTGAGAATCCTGTTGTATCCAGTGGCGCGAGAGAGGGTGACTTGGCCTGTATAGAAATACTGTACTGGCCGAGGGACGATAAAAAGCAACCTTTACGGCGTGACGGAATTACCACTATCCGACGTGGCAGCAGCCATAGCCCGACGTCGGTTCACCCCTTATTTCTACACGTATAATTGCAACCGCCGCGCGGCCGAGATTAGCTCGTTACATTTTTGTTACTGCAGCATTGCAACGGTAACCCTGAGCTCTTCTTTTCTTCGGCTTATTTATTTACCTCCCGGTATATACTTTATTATACTTGCTTTAGTGTCCTGTGAGCTTTCTGTGATATGATCTACATTGGCGTATATACATGTGTGTTATGTATATAGACGCTCGTGATAATTCTTCGGGGTGTCTCATCAAATTCCAAAATTACCTTTAGTATGCAGTCGGTCCCGTAATGGATTTGTCGTGAAAATGAGGACAGGGGCTGAAATTAAGGCGACTGGCAAACAAAGGATATTGCACGCAATGTATCGCGCTCCGGCGGCACGCTGTCCTCTGCAAACAATCTAATGTGAGAAATACACACATGAGCAGTCCCGCTAATATTGCAAAGCTACCAGACTCGTTTGATACGATTGTCAAAGTGACATTTGCCAGTGAGTATTTGAGTATTAATTTTAATTTTGACTTTTCGGTAAATCTTGACTTTACCAGAAACTGGTATTTTTGAGATTTGAAAAATCGAACCCAAAAAAAGGTAGGAAGGGGTGGATTACTTTAAAAAATTCCTCATTTTGTATATATTCAAGGTAGGTCGACGTTTTACCAGGTGGGGTGATGAAGAGATACGGAGGAGGCAGTGGGGAGGCAGGGTTGTTTGTGCGTTTACGCAATTACTCGATATTACTGCTCTGGGCACTGGCAACTACGCTAGCTTTGCTAATAAACGCATAATCTCATAATACCATTGATTTTCAATTTGTTATTTATCCGTTCTCATAGGTTCTCAATTCGCGATTATAATTTTAATAAATTTCGACCGCCCCCCTGAAAATCCAAAATTATTGATACTTTACTCAAATCTCTATGGGACAACTGTCCGAATGATATTTCGAAAGAATTTTGATATTTTTTATCGTTCCTGTGATTGCGGGAGATAAAGTGATATCCGATCTAAATGAGAGTCACAGTTTGTACACCAATGACTATTTGGTAATTACAACAAAATACGGTAATATCAGCCTCTCTATATGTACCCCGTACTAGGCTGCCCTACGTACTGATTCGGGTCCATGTGGAACAGTACTCGCTTGAAACAGGTAATGCATGCGTTATTATCATAGGCAATTTTTCATATTAATTAACCGTCGCACGTTATTGCACGGGTCAAGTAAAGCGCCACCACACCGAGAATAAAAACTAAAATCAGTATAAAAAAATAATACCGTTCTAATAGCGTACTGTTATAGAAAAAAAAGAAGAAATCTACAATACCGTGAAATAAGATAAATTTTAATTCCAGACCAACCTGCAACTAGATGACAGATTTCACGACTAGAACCGTCGCGACGTCAACGTCCGTCGCGACGCCCTATCAATGACACTCTATACGAAGCTATGTAAGAACATTTTCCTTTTTGCGAAATGTGTAATTCGTCCTAGACACAAGATGGCGTCTTCTCATGAGAGCCGACGGCTACTGGACCACATCCAGGATATACCCCCATTACACAATCGCCTTATTTCCTCGCAGAGAGTAACCCATGAGATACAAATTCTTAACGAAGAAATCCAAAAATTGAAAAATAAAAAATAGACTAGAAAAATCCCTAAGAAATCATATAGTACTAGCTATAGTATTTTACAACATGTATCTATATCTAAATGACGGAACTTACTCGCACGCGACTATATCTTATCAAGCACCAAGCCGCATGCGACTGGTTGGCCTACAGGTATTAGCTCACTGCTAATCAGATCAAGTCGTTAGCCGGTCCGTTTACGTGCCACGTGTTCCTGTACGCGAAAGGTTAAATAATCCTGGCAAGGAGCGAACAGTAGGATACACTGGTGGATGATACCACCAAAATGGAAAAGGTCTAAGGAGACGGGTGAGGAGCGAGAGAAAGAGAGGAAAGTCAGAAATAAGAAAGAAGGTACCTATATAAGTGAAGCGAAAAAAAAAAGAAGAAAGTAAAGGAAGCTGCGTCGCGGAAGCGACCGTCCAATCCCAAAAAAAGTCCGTCGACGAGTTTGCCCGGCTTTCCCTATATTAGCTTACCAGGCAGCTTTCGCAAAATAAGTAACATTTTCAGGGCGTTTCTCGTCCGTGTGCGTGGCCAACCCTTAGAAGCGTGTGCCTCCTACGGCCCTCAAGGGTACCCTAGGCTTCCCGACCTCGCCACCCTTACCACCACCACCCTCAAGGATATCGTCCCTTTTTCCTCGCAAGGGTGTTCTTTCGACCTAGATGCATCGTTACACTTTGGCTAACTGGCCAAACTTCCCCAGGCCCATAGCCAAACGATCGTCTAACGATCGGACGCACGCGACTTCTAGCGCCAATGTTCACTCGTAGGTTAGACGAGACGTTATATTGCTGATTATTTTACTTTGACTCTTGTGCCCGGGACAATTTATTCTATATTGGCTACTATATTACCTTTGAGCTATTCCTTTGGTGACAGTTACCATATCTTGACCTTTCCTATACGATCGTATCGTTTTATTAGTATCGACCAAAAATTGCCATATATATTGTGCATATGATTCTAATGATATCATAGCATTACCTCGGACACGTACGTTTGTGATAAATAATGATAACGTATATACAGTACATAGTCGTATGGTATATGGTAGTATACTGTAATCTGGTGACCAAGGTGAGAATGAACGAGTTTTAAAAAAATAGAATAAATGACTTTCAGGACCCTAGTGGAAAATCAAACTGAGCAGCCAACGAGCGTAACCCAAGCAGACACGCGCCGCCGATCAGCAGACAAAGAATTCATCCGGTTTTTACGCATTAAAATCGTATAAATCTTATGGTACTTTAAACGGACGCATGCCGCTCTGCGTTTGCATAACATTATGGTCTTGATAGGTTACCCTTCTTGGTAGTCTTTTAGAAGGGGTTGGTATAGGAGGGTGCAACCTGGACGCACACGCTGTAGCTGTATACAATTTATGTCGCTTAGGTGTAATTTAGTTAAGAAACGAGGACTCACCGTTTGCAGCTTTTTCTTCCTGATCCAGTCGACGTCCGGGATTCTATAAAAAATGAAAAGGGAATATGAGAAAAATAGTGGAAGATAAAAATAAGACACACTGGCAATACGAGACCATTTTTCACTTATGGCTTTTGCAATCAATACTCGTATTCGGCAATAAGCAAAGTAAATCCTGTATATTTTCCGCATTTCATGAAATTGGTTAAGGGCAGGGAACGACTCCTATTTACTTTTCCATATATATACATATATCATAAGGGGATGGTCAACGTAGGGAAAAGTGGCGAGTGACCAGAGCCCAGGTTTATCATTAATTCACAAGCTCGCAGATCCCGGGATATAAAAATAATTTGGTTTATGGAAACAGACGCGTCCCCAGAAATAGCAGCGCGTATATATGCTACTACGAGATGCCGAATAAAACATGAATTGCCCCTAGAAAATTGTCCATCGAATTCCGTAAGGATGACGCAACGTTTCCTTCAAAATTATTTTTCAAAATCCGTCCAAACTATTTTACAGGAGTAATTAAGTCAATAATGCAATACGCTGTCACATAAAGAATAAAATAGAAAAAAAAATTTTACAATAAAATACCTAATTTTTTATCTTGACTAATATTGGTAACTTCCTTAACTGTACTTTGGAAGGAAGACGTCTGTCACGTTCAGATGCCTACTGGCTACTGATGATAATAGTGTGTACAATGGCAATCTAGAAGGCACATCGGTAGGAGATAGTGAGACACAGGGCGGGTAATGGAAACTATAGGTAAGGCTTAGGTAGCAGGTTACAATGATTTACTTTTTAGTTTGTCTATACGTCTCTCTCATAGACCTAGGTTATAACTAGTATCTTCCCAGGTCAGGTTAGTAGACAATCCTAGGGTGAACAAACGTACCGGCTAATGACGTTGACACCGGAACCTGTTGTCCGCTTTTGAATGGGGCACACGCCACGGTGGCTTCGCTAATAAATGGGCCCTCGGCGGGCCCACATCTGTAGTCGAAAACGAGAGCTGAAAAACTCGAGAACCCCCTACGGTATCGCGCCCCCGCGAAAACCCTCGCCAGGGACGTTATTATCATTATAATTGTGCACCGATGCGCTGATCAGCTGTATTGTCAGACCAAATGCTAAACTGTGCCAGCTAGAGACGTATTGTGTGGTTTTAGTAGCAGCATCCTCTACTGTGTATATATATATACATATATATACATATATATATATATATATATATATATATATATATAGGCAAAGAATATTGCGCTACCCTGAAAATACAGTAAAATATTTTGTAGCTACAAAATATATAATTTAACTGTAAAAGCATTCAGTGACAAGTGGTAAAAATTATTCCTGTGTCCAGGACGACCGAGAGAAATAATGTTTCAGATAAAAAAGAGAATACGAGGACGTCGCTAAAGTGGATAAATAAAAAACAATCAAAATGAGCCACTCCAACTCGATCGTACGTACAAATGCAAACAAACTTGCTCATAGAATTATAGACACTTCCATTCTCAGCACATGCTGGACCAAATGCGTGCTGGCAGTAGTACGTACGCAGGGGATGCTACCCCATAAGCATCGCATATGTCAGCCCCTTCAGGGACCCTTCCATCCACCATAGAGTACCCCTGGCAATGGGTACCGAACGATAGAGGCTGCAGTGCTGTACCTACTCTATGTGGGGTATAGGCACCTACAGATAGTGTTACACTAGGGCAAGTGCGTTTCTATGGGGACAAAGGTCGTTTTAGATTTCCCAAAAATCATCCCCCCGTGGCGGTAGGTTGCTATAACCGAGATCTAAAAAATAAATAAGAAATACAGTAGCGAATACAGTTATCCCCGGAGTTATCGCGAATTTACATAAGACAGTTAAATTCCACGTTTAGCTGATATTTATCGACACGCGAGCCATGGGTTTTGAACCCCTGTTGACAATGTCATCCATGAGGTCTTTAAGCTGACATATGTACAAAGGGAAGTCTGCGGATGTAGTCCAAATAGAAATACCGGGATAGGAATATTATCATAGCGTCCTAATAAGCTTAGGACTTTTTCTATAGATCCTATGGGGTACCCATGGTGGATATACGGGGTTGCTGCAGCCGTGTAACAACATCGAGACATGCACCCTAACCGCGACAATTGGATTTGCTGGGTTCGGTGATGTTCATTTGACATCATTTGGACATTTAAAAGGCCCTGACAGTGTTTAGGGAAGAAATTGGAGAATATCAACATTACAGTACATGTAGGTATACATAAGACAGATGTCAAAGTGCATCTTTATGTTTAAGATAAATTATAAAAATCTTTCGGGAGTCACGAGATAACAGAATTAGATTTTTCAGAGGGATGGCTTTCCTCCCTTGCTTGGTTGCCTAGCCATAAGGTGGTAATGTCACAGGCCGTTGGGCAGCCAAGAGATCCCATGAATCAGGACAGCAATAGCAATAACAGCAGCGGGAGCTCTAAGAGACACGAGGTTGACGCGAACAGGAGGAGATGAAAAAAATTTACTGAAAACCGGTTCGACGTACGTTTCTCGAATAGTTAAGGTTAATGACTGATGCTTGGATACTCATTATGGTTTATTATTCTACTTTGCCGTATGAGGGGTATTAATCGCGTGTAGCTAAAATACGTTACTTAACAATGACAAACACCTGGATGAACACAGTCATGACAAAAGTCAGTTTCACCCCTGAACGTTCACGAGGGGTTGGCTGTTGAGGTTGTAGATACTTATACTATACGTAGTATACATATACATAGTAGCTTGGCTGGCAGTATACTTTGGCCATTTAGTAAGGCTGGCGGTAGCGTCTCTTTCGATTTAAGAGTCACTAGACGAATACGTATGCAGATTAAGTGACGGCTTAGATTTAGAATGTTTGCGAATGCAAAGCAGTCGAACGAAGGAGTGGATCTGAAGGTTGGTAGTACGGTAGAGAGGAGGCCGGGCAAATTACCCGGCACAGAACACATTATCTCTACTTGATAGACCCCATACCAAGTCGTCAGTGGTTCTCATTTGTAGGGAACGTAATCGTCCCCTGTTGGTAAGAAGGTAGAAAAGCTACGTAGCAATGCAGTGTATAGCTATAGGTATTGGATGAGTTGCCAGGGTGGTTTAAGAACTACCGGTTAGCAGGGGAGAGGTGGAGGGGAGGTTACTTCTTTTCTTTCCCTCCTAAATTCGCGATTGCTACCTCGACAACCCCCCATAAATTTATTCCAACAAATTCTATAATTACTTTTTCGGGACCAAGCGGATCCGAGAGATTTATACGGTGGTTCCTTCTCTTAGCATTTTTATTGGACCTCTGACTCTTGGTTCTCGCTCTGCTACTGCCGGCCTTGTTTTCCAGATTTCCCTGAACTTTTCGTAACAACAATCAGGAATTACTGTATATAGCACAATGGGTGAATTATGTACGGGATCCTATGTACGTACGTATATGTATAGAATAGAGGAAATGTATGTTATTGCTTATAGGACGTGTATAAATTTGAAGTTTAAACATCGTTGGTACATTTATCTTGTATGTATATCTTAAGGCGTGGGTTTCCAGGTAATGAGAGCGAGTGCCACCCCGTGTTGGGGGTTGTTTGGTCCCAGTGGTGCGGAAAGCCTCCACGCACCGAAAGGTCCAATCCATCACTTAGCCGGTGTCTTATGCATAGCATAAGGTAGACATTATAGTCGGAACTTAACCGGGTATGTCTGCTATCTAGCGAAAAGAGTAAACAGGTGAAAGTTCGGTGGGGGATGGTTAGAAGAAAAATGTTAAATCTAGCGAGACAGGTGAAAAAAGGATTGTTGGCGGTAGTGGCTGCTGCGTGAAGAAAGACCTGACGCAGGGCGCTGTGGGTTTCTAGGACTCCAGGCTCTGGATCCAAGACGAAGGATTCCTTGGGTGTCCTAGGGGAGAGATCAGAGAGTTCCCGGTACTTGATTGCACATTGCAAAAAGTGGGACAGGCTAGGTGCGAGTCCACTGTGGGACAGAGTGAGGTGTTTCTTGGCGATACGTGACGCAGCTGCCATTAGGCGAATCACGTATGTCGATAGGATCGCGTAGGTCTGACAGGTAGCTGAAAAGGAACTGTAATCGACAAATTGGAGAAAAGGAGAAATCATTGGGTTCCGTATAGTAAATCGATGACAGTAAACTGTCTGGATTTTATATGGTGAAAAAAGTTGATATTCCTTGGAATTCAGTATATTGAGAGACACGTTATGACCTCTTTACAGTAATACATACCGGAGGTATGGATTTTTTATATGTACATGAAAGTTTGAAAATAATAGTCGAAGGTAATAATAAAAAATATTGGATGATCCTATGATTTCTGAGAATTGTAAAGCGAGCTCGTAAGATTTTTCTGGATAATTTTTCTGGAACGACGAAAAACAACCCCTTACAGTAGCACGGCCTTCGCCGGAATGACAGCCTCGCAACGTTGCCACCAGAGCGCCACTGTCTCTTCAGGATCTAAACCAGGCGTGGTGAACAGTCACTGCTGGATCCCATTGGCGGAGAAAATGGTTAGCGATTGGTTTGTCCGTGCAAAGGCGTGGCGAGTGAAGGTTTGTGCTACATTGTGATGCTGCGCGGATCAGGATCGACTACGCCCCCTAAAAGGTTGGTACAACCCCGGGGGACCTCCGTGCACGCTAGCTTGGCCGGCCGTGACACATTCGACAAGCGGCGCCGTAACGGGAAGCAACGCGCGGCTGGGGACCACGAAGACCTCACGGCCACGAGTCACCCTCCGCCCTCCTTAGTCGAGAGAACGGCACCGTGCCAGATTACCGTATCCCGGGGTGCCATCAAAGCGCGATAACGACACTCCTGGTGAATCCTGTGGATCCTGAAGTCCGTCTAGCCACGAGGACAAGATCCCTGGAGAAAACAGGGTTAAAGTCATCGGTCAAGCTTTTCGGTTAGTGGTGCAGGAGTATCGACCTCAGCATCCCTGGACCCAGGACGCATCAGTTATTCAAAAGAAGATCCTATCGAAAGTTGGCAAGAAAAAGAAAAGGAAGATGAACGGTAAAACAGTGCAAGAGTGAACAGCAGTGTAACGCTACGGAAAACACTCTACAAGAAGTCCACTGACAGATAAATGTTCTATTAAAATTTGGTGACCCCTCAGTGACATTATGGTGAAGACAGTGTTGTGACCTTAGAGAATCAGACCACGCGGCCAATGACAGGTGACAGAGACTCGAAGATCATATTTCACACGTGCTCCAAAACGTCCAGAACTGTGATCAGGAAGAAAATTTAAAGGTGGACCTTAATGAAATTGATCGCTCGACGTCGACTTCCTGATCACGGATGGTAGCAAAGAGTTGACGGTACATGCTCGTATCCGGACAGGAAGTACGAAGCACGCGGAGGAAATCGCTAATTCAATCGCGGCAAAAGGTATTCGCGGTGGGCGCTTGCGCGCGCTCCTAACTCTGATTTAGCGAAGGGTGCTTCAGAGAAGGAAGAAGAGTGTTGCCCCAGGAAAGCCTCTACAGCCTCACAACGCGGTCCGACGAGTACACCGGTAGTCACCCCAGCTCCACCATCGTGGGGGCTGGGGGACTGACATGGTTAGGCTTTGGGGCTGGTGGCGGCGCAGGGGCCACCACCGGCGGTGGAAGTCCTGTCGAATTTGATGAGCACTGGGGCCGGAAGTTGTACGGGGCCAGCGTGGCCCCGCCACCACCGCCTCATCATCATCATCCACGTCTCTTCGCACCGCAGGACATGAGGCAGATCCTTAAGGAGGAACCGATACCACGTGTCTGGCCGCAACCTGCACTGGGTGATAACGGAACGTAAGTTTTCTTCTCTTTTCATTTCGTATCTAACAAACTTCTACGACCAATCCCTTTTGACATATTTTTGAAAATTTTTTTTTTGGAATTTAGGTAATTTTGCTTGGTTTGATTTTACGTGAAATAGAAAAAAAGTAATGGGTGATATAAGAAAATAATAACAATCTTCGATATAAGCACGCATGGGCTGAGGGATCGTAATTGGGATCGAATTTGAGGGATGGCGCAAAAGTCACTAGCTATCCTCCCTAGGGAAATTTGTGAGGACCGCGTGTACTTGAATCATTTGTAATGAGCTTAGGAACTTGTCGGAATTAAGCTCTGTCCGCTTTAGGCCTATCCTCCGAATCGTACTACACTCCGCCGTCGGACCGCGCACTGATCTTTACTACTTGGAGCTTGCAAGTCAATTGGGAAACCTACAGTATTTACGTTAGGTTGGACGATAAAGAATAAAAGCACAAAGCTCAACCGACTAATGAACTGATAATATTAAATTGGCTATTATAATGAGCTATTCAATAGGTAAAGAAAAAATACTCGTCTACCTAGAAGTTAATCTTTTTCCGTAAAAGTGAAAAATTCCGTAAAAATTCGCTTTTTGAATAAAAAAATTATCGTATCAACCCAGTGACGTAATATCCATTTTTTCACAAATATTTCACCGGCACACAAATTCTTTTATTATTTCGAAATGAAAAAATTTATCGTATCCCAATGAAGTTTACAACGTATTACACCTATTATCGATGTCTCTCAAAGTAACTACCCTCTCGGTGCAGCGTAAACGAAACTCGGTAGACGAACAATAAACCGCACTTTATTGCAGTTTCACTAACGGATTTGTACGACGTGCAAACTGCAGAGGTGTAGATACGAGGTCGAAGGTAAGCCAGTAGGTGGCTCTCTAATCCAATAGCGGTTCCCTTAACTAACCTCACCTACAGTCGTGACACGGGAACAGGGTGGAATCAAGTTAATGTAATTGAGAATTTTAGCGCCTTTTGCTCTCACCCCTCCGAAGTGCCACTTCTGCCAGCACGTATCTAGTCATATGTGAGATATATACATAAGATAGCAAGTGTGCCAAAAATTTGCAAAAATCTCAATTACGTATTACGATTAACGTATACATTTTTTTTTTTTATTTAAGAGATGCAAATATTTTGCATGACTTAAAAAATATTCACCAAGCCATCCCTCACTTTAATTATTAATTTGATTAGCAGATATCCCAACCCTCAAAGAACCTGATCCTTTTTTTCTCCTATTTTCATCCCTTAATATCTATACACCGCCTAGATATATTCTAAGCAAAAACTTTAGCTCCGACGCGACGTCTATAGCCATTCGGCGAGTGTCCTGGGGTTGGTGTACGTGTTTCTAACGCGAAGGGTAATACGAGAGGCGAAACTGTTTTAAAACTCCCAGCAAACAGGCATAAACTCTCGCGCTTTTTAAAAACCCCTAAAAAAGTTACCCACCTAATGAAATATTAAGCCAGTGGGCACCGCGACGCTCGACGGGAAACGCCGAGTGTCATCTACCCTTAGTCTCTTTTTTTTCACTGCTCCAGCAAATAAGTGTGTCTTGTACGTGAATAAAAGTACGCAAACATGACTTTAAAGAATTTTCAATAAGCGACAAGCAGATCACGTGTATCGTGTGACATGATAATTATGATAAGAATTTCTGCGTGTCTGTTTTATTTATTTTATTTGGACCAATTTATACGTACACGGATGCTGCGAAAGGCACGTTACGCCATAGCAAACTCTGGTAAATTAAACACACAACGCGCGACGCTTTCACACCACCTCCATCGGATTATATTCAGATATATTACAAATTGCTCATTATCTCGGCATGCATTATGAATCACGCTGGGCGTACTGTAAATAGACTAACTACACGCTTTAGCCAACTCGGAATAACTAACAGTGGCCCGTACGTGTATTAACTGTAGATTTATTGTAATTCTCTGGGACGGCGATCGCGCATTGTCCTCGAATCGCCATCTGAAATCTGCAACATTAATACTATCTCGATCGAATACGTAACGCATTGTGGAAAACAGTTGGGGAAATCAATGTAAATTATATTTGAAAAAAAAAATAAAAAAATTCGCAAAAATAATTGAGTAAAGATAAATACATTTTTTTGAAGAGATTTTCTGGTCATGATTTATCACGATACAGTATGTATTTACGTATGAACGACGAATCCGAATCTACGTTATCAGGTGCAAAGGGATAAGCGAACTCATGAGTGAATTATAAGATGAACTTGAATCGAGCTTGTAATTATCGCTTTAATCGGTGTCGGTCGAAACTGCAAATAACGTGGCCACGTGATAGCCAATGCAACCCCCGTGCACGTTTACGATGCACATGCAGTCACGAGCACTCTTGCACTGTTCCGCAACTGCAAGAGGACTGCACGCGCATCGATAGAGGCGAGTACGAAATGATGCGAAAAATAGTCGCTTAATGGAGGAATATTGGCCGGAAGTGCTCTCCCGTCGTGTCATTATAATTATTCGAGCTCGCTAAATTGCCTTTACATCAAAACCCACCCCTGTCGCTTCTCTTCGTTCGTTTTCCGATTTTCTCCCTTTTCCTCTTACAATCTGCTACCCTTTCACTCTTTCTCGTTATTATTTTACGTATGTAAAAATGTGTGTATATGCATCCAGCATATTCGTGCAGTGGATTGCATATATGATACGTATATGTATATCAGAGATCGTGATATCAATGTATGGTAATGGGTGTGAAAAATGTTAAATTTAGAAAATTTATCATTTTTACGGGAAATAATTTAAAAACAGATTTGCTTTGATTTTTAGATTATTTTTTGGTGGATTTTCGGAAAAATTCTTATAGTTTGTGAAATATAGGAGGATGAATTTAATATTGGTTGATCGAGTATGGTGTCTCATGATTTTTCTCCTAACCACATTTTCCAAAAGTTTCCCTTCTGGATTACCGAACCCTTCGCGATCGGCACGAACTGACCAATGGGGTGGCAGCATAATGCGACATAGGAGGGTGCCTGCCTACACGTTATAGGAATTGGTGCATAGCAAACGGGGCAAAATAATCGGACGTCGAGAGTTATGGGGCGCGAACCGGCGGCCGGTTAATCAGCCACCGATAATTATCGACACGGGCAGTACATCACCCCCCACCCCAATGCCATTGGCGCCCACCCCTCCGAATCCATCCTCGTATTCTCGTATGCTAGAACATAGGATCCCATCGGGCGGCGTGACAAACGCACCGCCGATACCATCATTTATTTCACAAATGTGCTGCAAAACTGCCGCTATTCATTTTCGAGCAATCGATTCAGTTTTCCGCTCGGAAGTTTAACGCGATGGCTTTATCATCGGGATGCTGAGCGATAATGCGATTCCTTTAACGGTATACCTTTTGTTTTTGTTTCGTTGGCTCTTAAGAATATTTTAGTATGGAATTTGGCAATGTGACAAAATTTGTACAGACCCGCTCTCTGAGGATGTTGAAGTTTCGAAAAGGATACTTGGGGTAAGAATTAAGGAGAGCAGTGAGAAAAGTAAATCTACTGTAGACTTTCGACGCGGAGGTTTAAAAGCGTCGGGACGTCTGGATGGCTATGTTGGCAAAGTATTAAATATTCAGATGGGAGGGTCTAATTGCGGGAAAAAGGTGACAAAATCGGCCTTGCACAACTATGGGAAGTAACGTTATTTGGGTTATTGCTGAAAATCGCAGGATCACAGTTTGGCCCTTTTGACCCTTAGGTCACGTCCTGACACACGGTTCAACTGACCCGAATAAATTTTATAAACCTTTCGCTAAAACTTCCTCCGGACACAATTCTTGCTTTAGGCTACCAAAAGGGAATCGAGGGATGTCGCCATCTTGTATTTCTATTATTCATTTCGATTAGCTATTTTTGATGAATTTTTTTTTTTTAGATTTTTCGCAAACTACCCCATAAGAAACCCCTTGGTCGTTTGACGAATTTCCAAAAAATGTGCACTCTGTCCCCGTGGGATTGGTTCGCTACTATTTTGACAGTTTGAAAAATTGACAGCAAATTGTTATTCTTTTTTTTCCCCTAGCAGGACATTCCCGGGATTTCTCGGGACTGCCCACGCCCTGGCGAACTTCGAATACGGGCCCCGTACTTTGGATGTTGAGCGATGACCTGTCTCTGGAGATTTCGGAAATTCTTCAGCCTAGTATACCCAAAGCTTTCTGAAATATCTTTCTTCCTTCCACTTTGTCCCACAAATCAACAGTTTTTACTTCGCGCGGATACGAAAAAAAAAAATAAGGATAGTGCAATTTTCAAAATTTACAAGAAACAAAAATCTGTAACGCAAATTTGACATTCTGAAAGTGAACCGAGAACAGGGATTGTTTCAACCGGAAGTATAACTATGATAATTACGCGGCGAGAGGGTGAGCGAAATGCGACGTCGACTCTCAATTAATACGATCAGACTAAAATGGAGCAAGGGTAGCAAAAGGTCGGGGGTGCCACCAATTGATCTAATAATTTCAACGAGAACTGATCTCCTCCGTCCTTATCCATTTTAATCACACCGATTAAAGATCGACAATTAATTATACCAACGGTGTCACACTTTAACTCAGCCCCTCCATCCCCATCCCTATACTAATTAAAAGTCTCAAAGAACTTTCTAGAACATCTCAGCCCCTCATATCTTGAATTCATTTAATTCAAGGCAATAAGTGTCTTACTATACAGGCATAGGTAACCATACAGACTTCGCACCCGAAACATCCACAACCTACTATTAAATGGTTGCACAAGGGGTGGATACTTTCCGTGCCATTACTCAAAGATGGCAGAGGAGAGTCCAGTGGCCTAATCTCAGCACATGAGACCTTAATGGAATTTTAAGGCGTCAGGGCCACCTGCGCCCCTCCCACCCCCTCGCTCACCCCACATCCTCGACCTCGTTTGTCTTTCCAGCCCTGGACACTCTTATACTATTCAAAGACGTATTATGCAGAGCCCTTTCTCAGAATCCTTATCGAGAAGAACACCCTAGCGAAATCCTAACGGGGCAAAACAGAAATTTCACCCTCTTTATTTTTTATTTCTACTCCATGTCTCATCTGTATATACACCCACGAATCCTCGAACCGATAACCCTCAACCATGTTTTTTGTTAAAGGGTCGCCGTGGCTAAGGCCCACTTCGAGAAACAACCCCCGAGCAACCTGAGGAAGAGTAATTTCTTTCATTTCGTGATCGGCCTCTTCGATCGGACCGGACAACCAATAGAGATCGAGAGGACGGCTTTCATTGGTTTCGTTGAAAAGGATCAGGTATGACAATTCAATAAATATATATGTATATATCTACCCATACCCAACGGATATATTAAAAAGTGACTAATAACGCACTTACACCCTTTATTAAAAAAAAATTTGATCACGAATGAGACACCCGATAGCGACAGGTGCATGAAGTAAGGATCTTTATAGTATCGTACAGACATTACATCTTATCTGAATAATTACCATTTCCATCGGTACGTTTCGCGTCAAATATTAAATGGCTCCCAGCGCGGCAAGTTTTTCCAGCGATTAGTTAGCCCCACGAAAATCCATCGGTCGGAATGGACGATGAATACAATTAAGGAGAGTTTCAGTCACGCAATCGAGTGTCCGCGACGTATCTACAAATAATAAAGTCACCTTCCATCGTTTTCACTGTTACTATGTCATTTATGTATATAAAACTACACAGTACGATTGTCTCCTCTGCCTCCAGCCCGATCAAAGATTACACCTAAATCCAATTCATTATTCAAACGCTCGAATACGAAAAGTCAATACACCAGTCTGATACAACTGGCTAGTTTCTATGTGAGAAAAAGTTCCGAGAATAACTAATGCCGCGCTTCAGAGAATAGTCGCGGATAACAGATATCGAGATCCAATTGGTAGCGCGATTGTCGTCCGTCGTTAAGGTTACGCACGACTCTGTACTTTCTATTGGTCAATTAGTATGGCTCTTTAAGGAGATGCTGGACTGCATCTGTCCGGCGCCTCTTGCGCAAGAGAAATCGTTACGTACCTTTTCTCTATCGTAGACATACGTATATACATATACTGGTTGAATGCCATAGTGATATATACGTACGAGTTACACGTATAAATGGATAGTACAGTGTATGTATATAGATATACGGAGAAAATGAAAGATATCCCTAGTACAGTTCTACGCTGGAACAGCTCGTTCGTTCTAGGGATAAAATGGCTGTTAACTTTCAAGAAGTGGAAATTCATATTGGCCAGATTCTAGCTGCAGAAATTCTTGGCAAGATATTCAAGCGCCATACGGGCTGAGAATTACCGTGAAGAGAGAAAGACTGAGAGAGAGAGAGAGAGAGAGAGAGAGAGAGAGAGAGAGAGAGAGAGAGGTGTATATTCAAGAGAGACCTCCGTCCGGTACTGACTTTCCGGGGTAACAAGGAAAACCCCGTAATAAATCAGTCTGTCGTAAATCGCCGGGTAATTCGGCAGTGTGGAGGAACCGTCCTACTACCTCCAAGGGGTGTTAAAGGATTCGAGTATTACCTACCATCTTCTGGATACCTTCGAATTGCCTGCGAAGTGTGCTACATGTATTATATGTTATAGATACATATATATGAAATCCAGACACGTCCTGACCGAAGTGCAATTTAACATATAGGTTAGCCTACTTAACTAATTACCGGAGCACGTGCTCGTGTTTACACCCCGTCCTACTGTACTATATATTTCGCTAGCGTCAATCTGCACTCGTTCACTCTGTCCCTGTCTTTGTCCCTCTCGATAGTCTCCGACAGATTCGCCTTCTCTCTCTCTATCTCTCTCTCTCTCTCTCCCACACAGTACAGCTTCGGACGTCTATAATTCACACTGCCGGACAGTTGCATCGCGTGGCCTCCTATTAATTAGGGTCATGCACCGCGAGCATACATCAACCCTGGGCGGCAGTGGCGAACTCCACTGGCCCATCCCCATTTACATATTTTCCCGTCATTCAATTATTTAAGGAGGAATTCACGCCACGGCGAAAGCGTCCGCTTATCACGGCCATAAAGCCTGATAAAACCTCCGCTCTTTCTCTCTCTCTCTCATTCTCTCCGCGGGCCATTCCGGAAGTACCGGCTTTTTATCTCTTTGCTGTACGTATACATTTTTTTTTCAATTTTTACTCTCTCCAAAAAACACAAAAAATTACGAAAAAAGTCAACGATGATAACTTACCGATAATTTACAAAATTTTCAAAAATCACGAGGGGAGTGGAGTCTAGGAAGATGCACAGATGCATTGTACACGCATGTGCATATGCACTTACATGCATATATCCATACACGCGTGGTACGTCTGTGCTGAAAAAACCGCGAGTGAAGAAGAGTACAAGGGGGTTGCAATGGTACTCGTTGATAGCGAGCGGGACTATCTTTATCAGGGGGTTGTTATGGCGGGGAGGGAGGGGGGGTTAGAGGGGTAGGTAGGTAGGTAGTTGAAAATGCATTACCAGCCGCGGCATATGGTCCGATGCACGCATGACTCGTCAGCGGGCCTGATAATTATGCATCACACGCTACACACGATACGTAATGGTGCAGCTCTTACACGCGCATCAAGAAATTAATAATTAGCGTGAGATGGCACGACCGTGCATTACATCGCGGTGTATTTAATTAAGGGCAACATGCACTTTGAAGAAACGAATGACTTTTAGTGCATTCCCTCCACTCTGCCACCCTAAGTATGTACCCACTGCCCCACCCCCCAGCCCATACGTCACTTTACGTAAAATCCAAATAAATAATGCACGTTGCATCCGCACTCTGTGTTTCAGGAATCCGAGGGTCAAAAGACAAACAACGGAATTCAGTATCGCTTGCAGCTTCTCTATACTAACGGTGAGTACCAACGTTATGCATTAAATACAACGAAATGGAATTCCAATATAAAAACCATACGTATCCGGTAGGTATATACGGAACTCGTATATCCTATCCTCATAGAGGAATAACTATACTATACGTATTAAACGTATAGTTAGCTGTAGGTTACAGCCAATCGCGCCGCCTAGGACTACCATCTACCTATATACCTATAACATGTATCTGCAGGGCCGTAATAGCCTGTTTAAAGCGTCGATGATGGGCCATCAACATTCCTCAGAGACACCCGGTCTCTGGAGGCGGCTAAAAAGCCCCGAAGTTTCGATGCCCCCCCAGTGCCAGGCGCAACAGAGACATATTTTACGTCACTGCTCGTATTGCCCTGGACAAAAACGGAAGCCCTTGGATCCTCCCTATAGCATCCACGAGGAATGGTCAGTGGTGGGTTATGTATAGCGGGAGGTCATATATATATATATGTATGAGTATATATATAGATTAGGGGGGGGGGTAAGAGGGGGTATACCAAAAAGTGTCTGGGCATTATGAACATATTAAAAAGCCGCAAGGCGCTATCAGGAGGCCCCGACCCGGCAATTTTTCACTCCATATATTGCAGACCGTGCGAGCCACGTTAGTTTCTCCCTCTCGTTTCTTTTGCTCTTTATGTCTCTCTCTCTCTCTCTCTCTCTCTCTCTCTCTCTCTCTCTCTCTCTCTCTCACTCTCTCTCTCTCTCACTCTCTCACTCTCTCACTCTCTCACTCTCTCACTCTCTCACTCTCTCACTCTCTCACTCTCTCACTCTCTCACTCTCTCACTCTCTCACTCTCTCACTCTCTCACTCTCTCACTCTCTCACTCTCTCACTCTCTCACTCTCTCACTCTCTCACTCTCTCACTCTCTCACTCTCTCACTCTCTCACTCTCTCGTAACACTGCGACTCCGTGCATCTCGCTCTCTCCGTCTCTCTCGTACACTCTTAGATCCTCCTTTCCTGTTTTTCCATGCTTCACTCCCTCCCTCTCTCCCTTGCACGCGTCTCTCTCTTTCTCGCGCTCTCTGGCTTCAGCATCTCTAAGTCGTCTTGCTCGTGTTGCTGGGATCCGATCAATCAATGCGGGATTTTTGCGTTGGCAGGCCTGACTGAGGGGCCGCCCAGCCATCTATGGGCACTAAAACGTGTTGCCAACATCGCGAACAAGAAATAACTAACTGTTGCAAAGTAAGGAATACCAACGCGCGCCTTCGGGATCCTCCATACCCATGGCTACTATCCTCCAACGTTTTACCCTACCCCGTCCCACCTAAACTCCACCTTTACGACACACACGAACCTCCTTTACCGTAGACCTACCTCCGGTCCATCCGACCATCCAGCATCCGCGGATCAGCATCCTCGACTCGCTCGCGTAATTCCATTATACGCGTATACAGACCCGAGCAGTTTTTAAGGCAATGTCTCTCGTTTCGCTCCTCGTTAACCCTTCCTTCGCTACGTGTACGCAAATAGCCTGGCTACGCCGAGCCTGTTCAGGATCTTCGGGGAGTGTCCTGTGGACTCAGGATCTTCGGGGAATCCAGGACGTAAGGGACTCTTTCCTCAAAACTTGTACGATATAGTTATACACGTGTCTCATGGTCAGGGATACGTAAGCGTTTCCAAAATTTACTCGATGTCAAACTTCACTCCAGTCCTGCGGGGTTCGATCGTCCCTACGTTTCTGTGTATAAACTGTCGATTACCTGTCCGAGTCCATATTCCGTTTGGCAGGACACTCGGCCGCGAAAGTTTAAGATATAAAACACAGAGGGCTGCTCTGTTTCTCCGAAGACAAATTGACGCACTGGCAGAGTTGGCACTGCGGCCACTACTAGCGACGGTCCCGATCGTCAGGTGTCCGGCACGTCATCGCGTCACCGATCAACCAGCTCCGGCAATAAATCTATAATTAAATAATAAATAAGGAGCGATCCCCGGCGTCCGAGTGACGGCAAACTCTCGCCATATCGGGTCCTGCCCCTTTTTGTCCTCGTAGCCGTTTGCCGACGCTCGTCCTCGTACGCGGCCTCCCATCAGCCTCTATATACACAGCCGGAGGAGAGACGAGATGAGTAACGGAGCGAGAGAGCCGGATCGAAGGGTGCGGATGATGAAGCGAGAGAGACAATCGTCACTGGAGAATATATAAGTAATAGGTGCCCAACCGATTAAGGCATGACGGATCCAAGGGCTGGCCTTTACGGCTGTCGGCCTTTTATTTTTATTTTTTTTTTTTTTTACGTATTCGTCGGCTGTGCTGCAACCCTTCGATATATTAAATTCATTAATTATCATTATCCTCATAATCAATGTCCTTCTTCGGGACGTTCAATGGACTTTTTAACGCGGCCTGGACCATATCGCTGATAGGAGGTGCCCCGACCGGTCTCGATCACTTTGCTCGTTTGACCCTGGCTTATTTGCAAAGCCCAGAGATACTCACGGGCGCCCAGTCTACTTCGGTTAAGCCGACAACGCTTTCTCGAGGTAATTTGTGAGCTAGTTTCGGCCCAAATATTATAATCCGTAGTAACATTATGGTTCGGGAGTCTACGGGCAGACCTCAGCCGGCCGCCGGTTTGGCTCTGCCAGTCTTATATCGGGATTACTTGGCTTACCGGACGCTACAGGACACACGTGGGGAAAGCTGCGCGGCACGCTACACTATTGCTACGAAATATTGTACGTGATAGGATTATTACTCGATTATATATATATATATGTATATGTACGATCAAGAGAATCCTGAAATATTCGATTTACTTCGTGTGTCATACTTTTTACCACTTTTTTATTACGGCTCAATGACAGTCAAATTTTTTTTTTTCAAAAAATTCAAAATTATTTTTATCAACAACACGTGCAACTTCGGCGAGTATCCCGTATGACTGACTAAGGACCATGTTGAAGAATTCTACAAAGAAAAATACTTTGATTGCGTTTACATCCCTGGATGCCTAAACAGGCCGGACTAGTCACTCACTAGAATGGTTTTTAATGCACCACTTTTTCCTAATGGTGGATGTATATAGGTATACTGAGGTAACTGATAATATAAACTCTAAGCTCAGTACTCCGTATCCGTACTACCACAAAAGTAACTCGTCCCTCGCGGTGTCTGTGCAAAATAAAAAACCAGTCTTCGTGTCGCATCGATTAAGCGCGAGCAACTCGGTGATCTTAGTGGCAGCTTCGCCATTTTCTATCCCGGGAGCATCATTAACGCCCGCTTCTTGTTCGCAGGTGTCAGGCAGGAGCAGGACATCTTTGTTCGGCTGATAGACTCCGTGACCAAGCAGGTGAGAGAATGTACGATTAATAAGCATATGTATATCGATTTATACATATTTATATATATATACATATATACTGGGATACGAAAAAACAATTTGACCCATTCGAAATTGCTTTCTATCTTCGGCCTTAAGGGGCGGGAAAAAAAGGATTAGGGTATTTAGAAGAAAAAAAAATTTCTCGTTCGAGGGCGCATGACAAGAACGTTATCGCCGGAGGTACAAGCATTTAATTTTCCGGGGGGTTGATTTTTACCCCAAGAATGGGGAACTGTCAGTGTCCCATCCACGTTATCTCCGCCACGTGGCAATCCGACCGATAGTCCCTTCGCGCGAACCACGTGTCCTCCCTTCTGTCCCGTTTTCACCTAACCCCCTCTTACTGCCGCCCATAACTGGAATATAGAGATCCCGGCGTTACGATAACACAAAGAAGGATCATAACCTTCGAGCAAACGCAAATACGACGGTAGATTATGCGATGGATAAGAGCTTTAGGCATTCGAGGGTCTTTTTTCCTATTTTTTTGTTTTGGGAATAGTTTCTATACGGCCACTTGACACCTCGCACCTTACGATACACTGTAAACAGCTGTGGTGAAATAGGTATGGGTTAGTTGGTATTCAAATATTGGGACTTTAATTAAATTTTTTTTTTTTTTTTTTTTTTTTTTTTTTTTTTTTTTTTTTTTTTTTTTTTTTTTTTTTTTTCGTAAACGTAGTAATTATATACTGTGGAAAATTCTGAGAAGGTCAAAGAGCACCGGGTACTTTCTCAAATTATTTTTGTAATATAGATACTGTATGTATAATGTATAGTTAGATCCTGGTACCTGTATAGGTATAGGCGAACCTTCCGTTTTAGCAGATTAAATCATCTTGGGGGTTGGTACGACTGGTCGGTTTGGTAAGGACGATGGGGTGGGGAAACAGAGTCGATGTTAGTTTTAGCTGATTAAATTACTAAGCCGTAGTAGTCGTGCGTCCGCACAGCATTCGCCTCTTTCAATTCGCGATCCATTCCTTTTATTAATCGGCTTTTAAATCCAGGCTATCGAACGCAATCTGTCTGTTTCTGATTAAGAGGCAGAAAATTGTCTATTTTACGAGAAAAGGGGTGTATTCGCTCGAGGAGGAAGGATTTAATTTTTCGCAGAGAAAAATACTTTATGAAGAAATTCTTGAATTGCTTCGGCTGATTTTGATTTTCTTGAAAAAGGACCCAGAATTGAAAATAAAAATATTCTAATTTATACGTCAATGCGTTGTACTTACATCTATGGTATATGGATATCTGGATACATGGGTGGGTTCGTAACGCAATAGAAGGATTTGGCGAATCGCGAGTGAAAAATATACGTAACAGTAAAATCTGTGAAGAATTTCAAAAATCTACAACTCTGCCCACGTGTTCGGCAAACGTGCTTTGATCTCTGATACTGCGGATAAATAGATAGAAAAAACGATCGATAAAAAATGTCCGTGAATGCCGTTTGCGAATGAGGTATTTCGATAAATCGGCAAAAGGATGCAATTTCCTCCACCCCTACTCTGCTCTCATTCATGATTTGGAAATACGCTAGCCAAGCCGCAGGCTGAATTAGGAGGTCGGTTATAAATCCGCAATAATTGGGTACATCGAGTTCGCTCGCTTCAGTTCGAATCGAAACCCTCCAACCCTTAAAGCTTTCCTTCAATTTCATCCCTCCGCCTACGTAACCGCACGAAACCCTTAGCACGGACAGACGTTTCCATCCGAGAGGGAATCGCAACCGGCTGGTAAAAAGATATTCGTACTGAAATATGACGGCGGCGCGTGGTGGGCGAGTGAGGTAGAAAAGGAAAATTTGGAATTTACGTAAACGAATGAAAATAGTAATGACAATAATATTCAAATTTTTAAAACGTCTATCCATTTCGGTATAAATTTCTATAATCCTGTAGACACGAACGAAAATGAGAATACATAAAGAACTCGTGCGCACTTTGCTCGGATTAAAAATGCTAAATGCTAATTAGTTCCGGGGAAAACATTTATGGCTTAGGCAGTAAGAGGGCCGTGTAACGCTGTTATTCTAAATGAATGAACAACGGGGAAAATGTACCTAACTTGTAACCCTGTTAGGGAGCCCGAGCCCTCTAAACAACATGGCGGAAAGTTGAATACCAATTCCGCAAAAGGAAAGACGAATTTTTGTAACTTCCGCCCCGCTCTTAGTTGCGCGCATGTAAATATAGAATATAATAATCATAAACGCGAAAGCAAGACTATAGGCCTATATTTCCATAGGAAAATTTTATTTAAATTATTTGTGCTATTTTGTAAAAGTCAAAAGATCTTTAACCCTTGAACTTCGTGTTGTATGAAAAAAAGTTGACAAAAATTTAAGATCATCATTCCTAGTTGAAAATTTTTCAAATTGAGATCTCGATTAAAATGAAAAAAATATTTTCTTGGAGTACCTATTTTTATTTCTGGACATTTTTCATTAGGGTACTTTCACAATGGCCGACACGCAGGTCTAATCGCATCCCAGTGCATTATACATCCCATATGCAAGACTAATGCTAAAATATGAGTATTTAACTAGAGATTAAGGAAATAATAAGCTGGAGATAAGTTAATCCCTGGTAGATAAGACGAGAAAGAACTTCACCCTAGCAGTAGCCGAGGGGTCGTAGGCCTATAGAAACATTGTAGTACATATACGTTATTTCGTGATGCACATAAGCAGGGGTGATAGAGTCGATGTATGTAGAGAACAGAAGATTCCCAAGGGGATAGTAAAATCGATTCGGGATGGAAATCATTACTGGAGATTTGAATGACTATCTTCGAATTTATCTACTTGCATCAACCCCCGACAGTCTCGATAGTCCCGACAATCTCAAACAGTCCTGATTCTTAGTGTCGCTTACATCGAGCCTCGATAATGACACGATATTTCAAACTTCATTTTTCCGCCATAATAATGCAATTTGAGATAATTTTTTTTGAATTTCTCAAACGATCAATAACCAATCATTCATCTCGGTTCACGAAACTCTCCAAGCCCGGGGCAAGGGAGCTGCTCAGAGAAATCGCATTCCATAATTCCACGTCCCATGTGGTGGTCCGTTTCCTCCTTTACTTGCTTTAAAAAAATTCCACCAGTCACACGAGACTATCGGCGCTCTATTAGTCCTTCGTGAGTAATTCCCGTGGGAATTAGGTATCCTGGGATAGCGACCATTCCTGCCGGGACTTAACGGAAGCGAAGAAGGCCCCCCTGGGGCCAGTGCTGACTGCTCGCACCCCCCCCAGGACACGTTGTCTGACCTCGTCGCCAGTTTCAACCCCCAGGACGATTCATCCCCTCCCGCGACTGATACCTGACAACATAACCACGCGATATTCTACAAAAATAGTCCCACCTTGGGTAAAACTGTCTGAGCTAAAACTGGCAGGACTAATTCGAATCAACGAAATCTTCCAGTTTTCTACTAACAGATATATCCTTGAAGATACTCATCCTGGAACAATTTTCTGAACTCCATTACGACCCAGTCCAGTTGCCACTGCTTGGAAATTACTATTATTCCAATTTCAGTAAACTTGACGTATACAATTTTTCTCTATACAATCTTTTTACTGAGGGTCGAAGTTCCTTGTAAAACGACCTCGTAGCATCTTCCACGTACTACCTTATCGAAGCTCAACCGAACTGTTAAAGTTTGCTCTAGGCGCATTGTTCCAGCGCGTGCCGTACCAGTGCAGGGAAACGTAATTGTTTGAAATTGTTGATAAGTACAGACGAACGATGGATAAACAGTGGACGGTACAGGCAGTAATAGACGCCGTGCAAACAGTAGTCGCATGTCGGGGGCCGCTCGAGTGACACGTATATATAGTCACAGTTGACTATTGCTGACTGTGTACCAGCTGATTGTACATCGTTATATGTTTAACCAGTGATTATTGTTGAACGTGCAACATGTGTTACGCGGGTGTAGCGACGCAGGGAAGATCGTGCGGTATAATTTATTTTAATTTCATTGACAATAGTGGAGTATCTCGCGAGAATACTTACGAGTATAAAGTCGATCGTGCGATAAGAAAATTTATCCAGGAAAAACGGCGATGATCATTTCTGGTTTAAAAAAGTTCAACGTACCCTTCCACGTGGGTGGATATATATAAGGGAGGAGAAAAGTTGTCTTTACAAAATTTAAGCCAGGTTTGTATTAAGCGTCGTAAACGTTAGTTTCATTGTACGTTTATAACAGGGAATGGTGGTATATTAATTTTCATTATCCCAGGGACAAATAAGTTTGCATGACTTTTTACTATTAGGTCGAACTTCCACTAACGGCCAAGGTGCACGTAACCGCGAGATACTTGCTGCCGTTGTTTCTTCTGTCCTACAGTAGGTACCCCGTTGGGCTTCTCAAAGTCTTTGGTTATCTTCGAGTGTATTCCCCTTCGAAGACCCCCGTTTCCTCAAGCAAAGCCCCAACAGTTCTGATTTCACTTGGAGGCGGACAATGACGTAGGGTAAGAGGTGGAGGAGAAAAAGTTGGCTGGTTTTCAACGCAATTCAGTTTACTTCAGTCGCATAAATATTTGAGGCTGCTTTGAAAATTGTAGAGCGTTACGCGAATTCGGTCCCCGTGGCAGTTTGTGATGGCCTTTCGTTGTATTTGATATCGTTATCACCGGGCCAGTTCCCTCCGTGCTAACCAAACCCAAGCTTATAACCAACGCAGAGCCGTACCACGGTCATGTCGCGCATTGCGCGCCCACCCTTAGCAACTGTAAACTCCCTTGGATATTGTATTTCAAACTATTTACATTTTATCTCAAACTCGCGATCTACGGAAATTTTCGTTATTGCAATTTACGCGAGCGACAAAAGCGGGAGATCGTTACGTCACGGATGAATTGAATGAGACATACCGAACTTTATTCTCAATTTTAAATAGGTGGGTTGGACATTGTAGTGGGAAGAATTTTTTTTTAAGGTAACCGGGATAAATACCTCTAACACCTTTTACAAGGGAAACCATATATGTAGATGATCTCTGTACCGAAGGCAGTTTACGTGTAGATCAAAGCAAGACCAGCCACCCTCGAAACTTTATTATTCCCAGGCTAATCCGGAGCTCAAGTCCCATACATAATCACATGAATACAAGGCAACAACGTGTTGTCATTAAATAAAAATCAATCAGAAGGTCGTGAAGGAGGATTAACGGATTTGGTTTGGACTACCCATGGGCTTAAGTCCCTGCCGAGAGGGTCCTTCACGTTCACCCCGAAGAACCCCGACGTTTTCAATGCACTTTTGAACGAACGACCAAACCACGGGATTCACGGCAGATCGATGACTTTTGTTTCTAAGAAATTCCTGCCCCTTTTATTGACTTTATAAAGAAACGCTTTCCTTTTTTCGACATTTCAGGCAATAATGTACGAGGGACAGGATAAAAATCCAGAAATGTGCAGAGTCCTGCTGACGCACGAGGTGATGTGCAGGTATGTGGATTATTTGACAAATTAAAGGACATAGTAGCTATTGGCATTACTGCTTCACAGGAAGTACTTTTCATAGAAGGGGGTATATCGAGTAAGGGATGCAAACCTATGGGCAACCACCCTCGCGATAGTAAACCATAAACGTAACGAGGCATAGGGTGGTGGTTGCAGTCTTAGTCAGGATCTGCTCCGATCGTGAGTCACTCAGGCCCATGGGACCTCAGGCGCGTTACCCCTCAGGTCCCAAGGGTTCAAGGGACGTTTCTCAACGAGCTCGAAAACTTTTGACGCTCCTTTACTATATACCACCCGCCCGATACGGATTTACATCGCACCGGGTGAAGAAGAGGTTCCACCTCTGCTACCTTATGTAAAATATCAAGCACCATCTATCGGGTGTCTTATCGTACTGTTTCTAATTGCAGTCGATGCTGCGACAAGAAAAGTTGTGGCAACAGAAACGAGACACCCAGCGATCCTGTCATCATCGATCGGTGAGTCAAATTTATGGTCTACTTTTTTTTATAATTTTACATTAGAGAGAGAGAGAAAATTCGAAATTTCCAAAAGAAAGTTTCTTTTCTCCGAACGAAATGCGAAATTTCGTCACTGACAAATTTCTTTTTCTACTCTCTCGAGCCGGTTCCGCAGAACTACGTAGGTCGACATGTATACAGTCGTATACCATATACGTAGAAGTGTTGCGACCCCCGGATATTTAGGCTTGCAAAATACGTTGTCTAGGGGGGGTTAAGGGGGGTCTTTCGCTTCTAAGGGTGGAAGAGTATCCATACTCAGCCTTACTCATACCCTTCGTGCACACCAGGAGAGCCGGCCCGTCCTCGGAACAGAGGCTGCTGGTTCTGGTAGCTCCTAGCTAGCTAACACAGGGTGGCAGTAGGGTGGGCCGGGTATCTGAATAGGCTATAGAGTGTCCTGAGATAGGATGGTAGGAAGGAAGAGGTTTCCCGCGGGACCCAGGCCGAGATAGTCTTCAGGAGGACATCTTGAGCCCAGGGGTGCTCAACCGTAACCCCATAGTCTACGGACACAAGTCTCCATTCGAAACGTCTGCCATTTATTTCCCTATCTCTTTCCTTTTTTTCTCTCTCTAAACATTTTTTGTCAAAAATTTCGAAAAAAAAGCATCCTCGAGTAACATGACAATTACGTGTATACCAATTACATGGCGATAACAATAGTTTGCCACAAATCGATCCCATCTGAAAAGAGTCTTATCGGGAAGGATCGGTCACGTGGAGAAATTACAGGGAGTGGGACAATTACCCAGCTAAGTAATAATCGTGGTTACGTGGTCGATCGTGGCCACGATAGAAAAATTAATCTCGAAAATGCTTTACGTCGAGACGCAAGCATCGTAGATGAGTATATGGTATATAGGAGGTAGTACAGGGGCGGAGGGGCGAGGGGTTACAACCTAACTGCAGCCGAGCGGTGGTCGATCGGTTCTTTGGTTAGTTGCTGGCTCGCGTGTCACGTCCACCCCTGGATTCATTTAGTAGACACACTCGACATCAATTGCTATTGCTATCGCTGCTATAGTACTATATAATAGGTGTACCTCTTCCTTGTGCTATTTCTAGTCAACCCATCCCCCTCTCCAGTCGCTGCCTCTTTCGCACCGAGCGGCCCTTGCAGTGGCAGGCTTCATCTTACCCGTCTGTTATATTCTTTTATATCTATATACCTATATCTGTATAGCTATATATATATATATGTATGTATACTTCCTGTCCCTTCCGTGTTCGAAATATCGAGAAGCTAATAGATTTTCGATCGCACAAAACCACAATGGACGCGAAAGGGGGCCGAGGAGGGGGGAGAGCGGCTAGTGGTTAGGAGAGTGGGCGTAGGGTATCAATGCCACTTTGATTGAGGTGGTCCACGTCGATTGTGACATGCTCACTCGGCTGTGCCGAAAGTACAACGTCACCTGACTGACAATCACCGAAAGATGAAGAGAAACAGGGGGTAGACGTACAGAAACATGGATCCACCCTGTTATGCCACTTTTTGTGGAACCTACAATACTAGGGCTCGTTGGAATATATATATATACTGCAGCGTGCAACTTAAGAGACAGAGTAAATTAGCCCACATAATTTTCGATGGGTTCAGAGATATTCTGATTGAGATGAAAAGGGTTCGGAGTTCATGGGATACGTATAATGCATATAGGTATACAGTGTACGTGGATTGGCGAGGGGCATAGGATAGGAGGTTTCAGAGAGTGGACCCAGGGTTGGACGCGTCATACGCTGGACTGGAAAACCAATTAACATGCATAATTAAAATGGCATTGTCCCAAAACGGAATTATGGGAATCAGTATTACGTATCCGTTCGTTTCGAAAGGGAAATCCCACGGGATGTGATTCTGGACTTTCTTGATCCTCCCGGACAGCGCACGGAGGCGCGTCCTTAGACGCGTCTTTCGCTTTGGAATTACGGATGGGAGACACACGTGCGATACCGGAGAAGGTCGAGGAAGAAAAAAAATGGTCAAGCGGGTCGACATGCCGGCGTGCCGGAACAACGGCCAATAACGGCCGGACGGATACGGCCGTACGATCCACCCCCGTGATTGGTTAACTTTGTTTCGTTCGGCAGCCAACCCCTTAATTTCAGCATCGATCATAGCCTGCCTACCCCTAGCGCCTATAGCTATACATGTATATACACACTGTTGAAATTTCAGCACATAGTAGCTTACCTCTTTCTCTCTCTTTCGTTTTTTTGCTAGGCCCTCTCTCTCTCTCTCTTTCTAGTCTCTCGACGCACCTTACCAATTCACTCCGTCAATTTGACGGATTTTATTCGGCCCTCGTGCACACCCCTCTAACCTTACCAACAAGATTTTACCTCGGGCATTCTACAGGCCCTTTCAACATCGTTCGACAGAGATTGGCCAGACTGAGAATTTGGATTCGTATCCTCCCATCCCCCCCCCCACCCCCTTATCTCTGTCTCTCTCTATCTTTCTGATATTGGCTAATCGTCCGCACAAGGGAAACATATTCTTCATTGTAATTTCTCCAGCGCCCCTTCAGAGAATTCCGCATCGAACGACGAAATAACATTGGTAAACACCTCGTGGCCTGATCCCACGTTGACGTCCTTATTGTCACGTGCAATAATTCCAGTACAGGATATCCCCTCGGATGAGTCCAGGCGCGTAACAATCAATCGTTACCTTAATTGATTGCGATTACTAGAGGCTTGCTGGGATGGATTGACTGACGTCACAATGACGTACGGATTGTCAATCAGTCGCGCTTGTGGCGCTAATGCATGCAAATCTGACCGAACCGACGTTACGTAACCCGTCGCTGCGTTCAGCTTTCCTCGCGTCGACACGCCGGACCCACCGTAAGGCCCAAAGTATCCCGAAGGGCGATACGGTGGCTGGTAATTTTCCATCCTTCTCTACGAGTTCCATGTCCATTCGATAATTTGATTGGAGATTACGTGTCCGGAGAATTTATACGTCCTAATGCGTGTGCACCCTTATGGCTAAACGCATGGGAAATATTAAAACTCGTATCGGATTCTTCGAGTGGATATAGCTTTGGATTAATAGGAAAAGAAAAAAATTGCGTGATAGATGTACACTGTGTAATCAGATGACAGTTCTCTTGACACGCACGGCACGCATTTCTGTGCTACGTGTATGCATGCTGGGTACTGACTATGGCCGACTCGTGGCCTTTAATAGCCCGATGCTTTCTATGAAAATCATTAAAATTATGAGCGATAAGGGTTGTAATAACGACAGCCCTTACTGTCACACTCGTATGACGTAAATCGATATTAAAAACGGGGGAGGTTTATTGGGATTATTTTTAAGGGGAGGATCACATCGCGTATGGTGAGCCACGAGGAGACTTTTGGGTATCGGTGAATTTTGACTTTTTCGGTGATATGAAATTTATCTTGGGCTAGTTTTTGAGGGCGGTTCGTAAGACGATGGCGGTTTTCGTCGTGCTATTTCCTGACGCGTCTATTAGGGAAATCAAAACATACTCAGCCCCGACGCCAGGCTCTTTTTTCCATGGGGAGCATATGGGGCACCGCTATGCTTATGGGGTGTCACACCCTTCGTTCTCGACGTACCCCAAAAATAAATGGACGACCGTGGTTGCGCGTTAGGGCCGACTGCGGGAGGGGAAGGGATGCGGGAGCGCGGCGGAGGGTTGGTGGGGAGAAGAGAGGGGGAGTGCATATGTGGCGTGCACTGTCGCATGCGTGTGTATAAGCGTGAGTGGAGGGAGGGACTGATCGGTGGAGCGAAAAATCGTCGGATAAATAAGCCCATATTTGCGCGGCTAATTATTTTTGGTTTTGCCAATCTCGAAAATTGGGTCAATAAAAGGAACGAGGGTGGCTACACGCATGTAAACGGTTAACGCTGTCGGGCGAAAAGGATTTCTCATGTTTTAAACTTGCGGGCTGTTTTCAATCGGCCGCTGATTTGTTGGCCTTTTTTTTTATGCGGATCGGTAACGCCGAATTGGCAACGATCGCCGGCTGGAGAGCCGAGAGATTGATAGGAGCCAGGAGCCGAATCAAGTGCGAAACTGAAAAAGGACACTAGTCCTACGGTCATCATCCATATAGCCCTCAGGCTTTTTACGCGTCTGGATTTCTACCGGGAGCGAAAGGGACGCCGCGATCAGGCGGATTGGATTTCGCGAAAGGGCGAGATGTGCGCGCGCGCGCGCGGGCGCGCGCGTTTCTTTCGTCGAAATTTAGAAATTCTGAACAGTTCCGCAGAGTTCATTAAGAGGCAGTAAAATCGTTCGCATTTAAGGGCCAAAAATGGTTCCGTGGACCCTCGTAAATTCGTCCAATTAGCCGAGTCACCAAAAAATCTACGCCGGGATCATTTTGCCCATCGGAAACCTTCTTTCTGGGGGCCCTCGCGACGTGTATACCTCGCGACGGGGCAAATATGCGGGCCCGTAAAATCGTACTTTCGGCGGTGCGCCGGGAACGCCGTTCGCTCGCGAAATAACGTCTGGAATGTATATTGGATATTATCAATATCCGGATCTATTCCGCCTGCTAATGGAAAACTTATGCCAAACCGAACGATCCATTATGTATCAGCGATCGAGTCTGCCGGATTACATTGCCGACTGCCATTTGATATATTATTTCATACAATTCTTTTTTCCTCGTACGACACATACGTCGTCGCACTGAAATACTTAACTGGCAGTAACCCTCGTAGCACGCTGCTTGACGTTACGTGGGGGATTGAGCTTACCGATGTTTTACTTGGTGAAAATTTTGCAAGGGTGCGCGAAACTGCCGATAATCCTGCGGAAAGCTTGCGGTCGTCGCGACGCCTTAAGAATTCAAGGTACTTAAGGCGTCGCGCGGCAGGTGGAGATCTCCCTGGGCAGCCTCGTGACTCCCGGTCTAGCAACAATCCCCCTTTTTAATAACACCCTCGAGTCCTATAGGACTCT